TCTCTGTTTCTGTCTGTCTCTCTCTCTCTGTCTCTGTTTCTGTCTGTCTCTCTCTCTCACTGTTTCTGTCTGTCTCTCTCTCTCTCAACCAGAAAAGATTCCCTCCCAAGTCCCCAAAATCTCCCAGAGCCGCTTCTAGGGAAGTCGGCCGAAGATAGACTGGATTTCCTGGCTGCATTTTGGTTTAAAGTGAAAGTTTGCAAGCTGTCAAATCTTCCAGCCGCAGAAGAGCATCATAATAGTGTCTTTTGAGGGTTGGCTGGTTTGTTTGTTTGGTGCAATGCACGGGGGAATCTGATTTTAACAAGATAACAGACTTGGAAGGGACCTTGGAAGTCTTCTAGTCCAACCCCTATACCACTCCAGACAAATGGCTGGAGCACCCACAATTTCTGGTGGCAAGTTGTTCCACTGGTTAATTGTCCTCACTGTTAGGAAGTTTCTCCTTAATTCTAGGTTGCTTCTCCCCTTGATGAGTTTCCATCTGTTGCTCCTTGTCCTGCCCTCAGGTGCTTTGGAGAATAGCTTGACTCCCTCTTCTTTGGGGCAGCCCCTCAAATACTGGAACACTGCAATATTGGAACACAGAGACACACACAGGACTGCCATCATGTATACGCGTGTGTGTGTGAATACATATACGAACATACACACACACACACGATAGCAGTCTTCCAATATTTAGGAAGATTGTCCCTTGAATAAAATTTGGTAGCTTGGAAAGATCCTAGCATGTTCACCCTGATTTTTGTAATTTGAGTTTTGATTTTTAGCCAACCTCATTGTATACATGTTGTACTCTGGCAATAAAGGTGATAATAATCATCTTAAAAACAGCATGCTGTATTTCAAACTCCAGCCATCATTCCCACATATCACAACGATTCCTTACAGCGTCGTTAAGATAACGTATAGAGTCTTTACAGATCCCACGACAGTGGGATTCATTCCTTCTGTGGAATTTAGTCTTCCGTATAACTTTTTTTTTTGTTGTTTAAAGTTCCTGACCCTACTTTAGCCGGCTAACCGCCCAGTGATACATTATCCAAGAATTTTCACTTTTTAAGTCATTATTGCTTTAAGCAGGGGAAATGCACGAAGAAGTGAAATGGACGTTTAAAAGCGAGCAAAAGAGAATCCGAGAAATTGCAGGACTTGCTAAATTCCCCTGCGCATCGCAGGTGAATGGATGGGCGGCGTTTGCCAAACCTTGAAAGGGGCATTTAAATTGGCCACAATTAAGGAAAGTCAAAAGCAAAGAGATGATTAGCACAGCTTCGGTGAAAAGAAGCTAGCTTAGACTCTTGCACATCTTTTAGAGATTTTCTAGGGTGGGGGAAGAAAGGTTTCCGCCCATCAAAGAATTTCTTAAGTTTTATTTTGTTTTTTTTTCCACTTATTAAATTTAGAGGCTGCCTGGTTTTCAAACATCTCTGGGCAGCCTATCCTTTCAAAAGTAAAGATGGTACAACAGAGAGAAAAAAAAGTCACAAACGTCTAGGGAAAAAAAACAAAAACATTTACATAACTTTTGCAAAAATATGCAAAAAGACCCCTAACGGGTACAGCCACTATCACGCACCAAGGCCTGGTGATAAGCCAGATTTTTCAAGGACTTTTAAAATATCTTCAGGGCAGAAGCCAGACAGATCTCCAAATTCTTCTGCATTGCTTTAGATAAGTTTTTGTCACGCTTGGCAACTTCCAAGATGCGTGGACTATGTCTGGACAGCTCCAAGAATCCCTTGTGAAAGGATGCTGACTAGGGAATTCTGGGAGTTGAAATCCACCCCTCTAAAAGCAGGCTGGGCTGGGGAAATGCTGGGGGCCCTTACAGTCGTAAGCTGAGGACTTTGTCAGTAAGCATGAAGTGTATTTCTTTCCCGTGTCTTTTTTAAAATGTTCATTTTTTTTTCCCCCTCTAAATTTTCTCCACCACAGCCCTGCAGGGTAGGCTGGGCCAGGAAGAATGACGGGCTCAAAGTCATTACGTGAACATAAAGCTGCATATTAACCGATTTTTTTTTAGTGATGCTCTGTTCACCATTTTGAAAAGGAAGTAAAACTGTAAAATAGTTTTTAAAATGTGCACAAAAGTTTTATTTCTATCATCTATCTATATAATTTCTCTGTCTAACATCTGTCTATCTATCATCTATCTATCTTCTATCATCTATCAATGATCTGTTTATCAATTATGTATCTATCCATCCGTTTGTCAGTCTGTATCATCCGTCCGTCTATCTACTATCATTCCTCCATCTCTCTTATCTCTCTTATCTATCTATCTATCTATCTATCTATCTATCTATCTATCTATCTATCTATCTATCTATCTATCTTCTGTCTATTTATCTTCTATCATCTATCAATCATGTGTTTATCAATCATCTATATTTATCTACCTATCATCCCCCCACTTCCGATATTAGCAATAATCCCTACTTTGCAAGAAAAAGAACATCAGATAACAGATAAGCAGACTTGGAAGGGACCTTGCAGGTCATCTAGTCCAACCCCACCCACCCAAGCAGGAGACCCTACACCATTTCTGACAAATGGGAGTCCAATCTCTTCTTGAAAGCCTCCGGTGATGAAGCTCGCACAACTCTTGAGGGCAATTTCTGTTCATTGGTTGATTGTTCTCCCTGTCAGAAAATTCCTCCTTATTTCCAGGTTGAATCTCTCCTTGTTCAGTTTCCATCCATTCTTCCTTGTCTGGCCTTCAAGTGCCTTGGAGAATAGCTTGACCCCCTTCCTCCTCCTCTCTGGGGACGCCCCTCAAGTATTGGAAGGCTGCTCTCCTGTCTCCCCTGGTCCTTCTCTTCCCTAGACTAGCCAGGCCCAGTTCCTGCAACCGTCCGTCGTATGTTTGAGCCTCCAGTCCCCTCATCATCTTTGTCGCTTAGGTACCCATCAGATTTTTGACTTTCTCATTTCTCCCATCTCCCTTTCCAGGAACCAACCAGCCGAGCCCTGGTGACTCTCCGCGTGGATCCCCAAGGCTTCTTCCTCTACTGGACCGGCCCGAGTTTGGTAATCGCCTTTTGCCTTCTTCAACCTCTGCAAAAAAAACCCAAAACCCTCCCCCCTCAACCCAGCCCTCCCCCTCCCTCCGTGCCTTCTCCCCCCAGTTGCCTCCCATCCCTTTTACAAGCGTTTTCGAAAGGCAACCGGCCTCTTTATCGTGTCGGTGGACGGATGTGGGAGCTCGGAGAGGCTCTGGGTGCCTCTGGTTTATCGCAGAAGCCAGCAGTGCAGGGGTTTTTGTGTGCGTGTGTGTGTGTGTGTGTGGGAGGGGGGGACAGGACACCAGGGGGCACGGGCCCACTTCCCCCCCCCCTTTCTCGCCTCTGCCGTGGGGGGGATCTCATCCGTGTGGGGGGGCCCCGGTTGCGGATGAGATGGCCAGATATAGGTGTTCCTTTCAACGGCCGCAACAATCCACAAGCACACACACACACACAGAGTCACACACACACACATGCCACCCCAGGGGAAGGCAGTTGCGTTAGCAGACTTTGGGTTGAGGTGTTTGTGTTGTTGTTCAGGGCTTCGAAGCCGCTGAGCTGGTTTGTCAAGAAATCTAGCGTGAGAGTCAGGGTGTTGCTGGAGGCGGCAGGCAGGCAGGCAGGCAGGCAGGCTGACTGGGAGGTCTTCGGGCTTCCAGAGCCAAGGAAACTGGTTGAAACTGGGACTTTTTTCTCCTCCTCCTCTTCCTCCTCTTTATTTGTTTTATTTATTTGTTTGCCGAGCATGTGTTATATACAGATATAAGTACAAACATGACTATTAATACGTGAAATGGATACAAATAAAAAGGGAACATTAGGACAGGGAGGGCACGCTTATGCACGCCCCTTCTTCCTCCTCTCCTTCCTCTTCCTAATCCTCTCCTTCCTCCTTCTCCTGCTCTTCTTCCTCTCCTTCCTCCTTCTCCTCTCCCTTCTTTTTCTTCCTCTCCTCCTCTCTTTCCTTCTCCTTCTCCTTTTCCGAAGCCTCTTATTCCTCCTCCTTTTCTTCCTCTCCTTTCTCTTCCTAATCTTCTCCTTCTCCTTTTCCTTCTCCTCTTCCTCGCCTTCCTCCTTCTCCTTCTCCTCTCCCTTCTTTTTTCCTCCTCCTCTCCTTCCTCCTCCTCCTCTTCCCAAGCCTCATTCCTCCTTCTACTTTTCTTCCTCTTCCTAATCCTCTCCTTCCTCCATCCCCTGCTCCTCTTCCTAATCCCCTCCTTCCTCCTTTTCCTTCTCCCCTCCCTTCTTTTTCTTCCTCTCCTCCTCTCCTTCCTTCTCCTTCTCCTTTTCCCAAGCCTCTCATTCCTCCTCCTTTTCTTCCTCTCCTTCCTCTTCCTAATCTTCTCCTTCTCCTTTTCCTTCTCCTCTTCCTCTGCTTCCTCCTTCCCCCTCCTTGTTCAAACTCTGCTCCTTCATCATCATCAACCCTCATCCTCTTCCTCCTCTCCTCCTTCCTCTTCCTTCTTCTCCAACCACTCCTTCTCCTCCTCCTGATGTGTTTTCCTCCAAAAAGATTTTATTTATTTATTAGGCCCACTTTTCCCTCTACCGCGAACAATATAAAGTGACGGGAGGCCCTCAATTTAACAACCGCAAACAGGATGGCCAAATATAAGTAAAATATAAAACATAAATATGCCATAAAATATAAAATAGTAATGAAAATATTGACCCTATGAATAAAAATATAAAAAAAATATAATATTAAAATAATAATAATAATAACAATTCAGTTGACTGAGTTTCATGTTTAATGAATAAAAGTTTATAATAGTAATAATAACAATAAACAAAAGAGTGAAAAGAAAAGAAGTGCAAGAGGAAAAAAGAAACCACAGAAATAACTCCTCTTTTCTCTCGCTCTTTCAAGGGGGAAATTTTCTCTCTTTTTAAAAAAGAAAACCAAAACCAAAATAAAAGCTCAGGTTGCAACGTCTTTGTACTTGTCTCTGCACGAAAAAGAAGAAGAAGAAAGAAAGAAAGAAAATTAAACACGCCACACCTTACAAAGGAATGTAAGCTTTGGAAAGGCACGGGGGAAGAAAAATCCTCCCGATTTTAAAAAAGAGAAAGCACAATTATCAACCCCTTAAATTGCCAATTCTTTGCCTACAGGTGTGTGGTTTATTTTTAATTTATTTATTTTTTTTCCTTTCAAAAAGCGATTTCCTCTCCACTCAGGAGGAAAAGCCCAAAGAGCTTTCAATTTATTTTTATTTATTTTTTTTCCTCTCCTCACCGCATGATTTCCCTACATAATCTCCTCGCGGTTCATAGTGCTTTGGCATTCAACAATCATGATGACAGCCTCTAATTGGCCTTTTTGAATTTTTTTTTCCAACTGGACTCTTGGCCCAGCGCAGGAAGGGCGAGAGATCAGAAAAAAACAATACAAAAAGGCCAACCCACAATCTGCATTAAACTACCTTACAGACCCCAGTGGAGCCCAGAATTTATGACGCTGAGCGAAACGTTTACGAAGGGAGTTTTGCCCCGTTTCACAACCTCTCTTGCCGCGTTTTGTTAAGCGAATCACCGCAGTTGTGAATTGAGTAACACGGTTGTTAAGTGAATCTTTCTCCCCACCCTTGACATTGCTAGTCAGAGGGTCCCCAAAAGGGGATCGCTGTGACCGTCATAAATGCGAATTGGTTGCCAAGCGTCTGGATGTAAATCACGTGAGCATGGAGGCAACGGTCATTAAGTGCGAAAAACAGTCGCAAGTCCCTTTTTTCATGCCGTGGCAACTTTGAATGGTCACGGTTGTAAGTTGAAGACTATTTGCAATTCATAGCTCAGGTAGTCCTTGACTTACAACGGTTCCCTTAGTGACTGTTCAAAGTTACAACGGCACTGAAAAAAGGGACTTAGGAGTGTGGTTCACACTTATGACCGTTGTAGTATCTCCATGATCATTTGATTAAAATTCAGATACTTTGCAACTGATTCAACTTATGACCCGTTGCAACGTCCCGGAGTCACACGATCCTGTTTTGCGACCTTTGGACAAGCAAAAATAAGTCAATAGAGAAACCAGATTTGTTTGTTCCTTTATTTATTTATTTTAGAACATTTATATTGCTGACAATTCACACATGGCAACTCAGGAAGGCTTAGAGGCGTATGAAAACCTCATATATAAAGCAATAAAACTAATAAAAGAGAATCATTTAGTTTAGTTGACTTTATTGTCATTGTACCTCGTACAATGAAATTAAGCACCATCTTCAGTGTACATTATGACTAGGAAAATAAACACAAACACACACATCCTTCACATGCTATACATTGAACTGATATTTCATTAATATTGCACTATACAATAGAATTCAGTAGAGCTACTGCCCTGGGATAGACACTGTTTTTCAGCCTATTTGTCCTTGTTTTTATGATTATCCTGTACCGTCTGCCATATGGTAATAGTTCAAAAAATGGGTGCCCAGGATGAGATGGATCTTTGAGGATGTTTTGAACTTTCTTAAGGCAGCGGGAGCTCTAAAGCTCTTCCAAAGAGGGGAGAGGGCAACCCAGGATCCTCTGGGCAATGACCTTAACCCTCTGGAGCGCTTTCCTATCTGCCCCTGTGCAATTGGCAAACCCTACAGAGGCAAACCAATCACATAATAAATTAATATAATCACTGCACCCTGGCAACAACAGTTTCACTTAACCACCGTGCGACTAACCGAACAGCTGCAACTATTCACTTAACAACCGAGGCAAGAAAGTTCGTAAAATGGAGCAAAGCCCACTCAACGATTTTCTCCCTTAGCGACAGAAATGTCGGGCCCAATTGTGGTCATAAGTCGAGGACTCCTTGGGTTGCACTCTTAAGCACGTTCTTCTTTGCAATACATTTCTGATAGGGACAATTAATGGAAACCCGAGCAAATGGCGTGGAAGTGTGTTGTTTTCCTACAAAAAGGGAAGGGTGTGTGAACGGATAAAACCCCGGCTAATGGGCAGCCTCCAACACAATTAGTGCAATAAACACTAATGTTCGTTGTTACTGATTTCTTTGGGTTTTTTTTTTTCTTCCTTCCCTTCTTCTTCCTTTTCTTCAATTATGCAAGAGCCAGCTTTTGAACGTTTTTGTTTTTTTTTTAATAAAAGGAGGTTTCTGGCAGCAGAATTAAAATAAAAACCTCAAATCTAAAATTAATATGTTCCTTGTCGTGGGGGCAAGGAAAAAGGAGACCTCGATACCTAGTCTAATTAACACATTTTGCGGTTCTTGTCAATGCAGGAGGATGTGGCAGAATTGGGCCAGGATGCTAACAAAGCACATTAATTGAAGAAATTGTCCTTTTTTCTTTTTTGGGGGGCTTGTTTCTCCTCCGCAAATTGACAGGAAGTGGACGTTTTGGATATCAGCTACATCCGGGACACTCGGACTGGACGTTATGCTAAGCTGCCTAAGGTAAATTTGGGTTTATAGGAGGAAATTTTTAAAAGGGGGGGTACATGTTCCCCAAATTTCCTAGGACATCATAGCACTAAATGTCAGGGCTCCGACAAATCCACTCCCATTCAAATCACGAGTCTGTAACCACATTTCTCAGAGTAAAAAAAAAAAAAGATTTATTAGGAGTGATCATGTTGGCGTTACGTGGGTGCAGCCGACACTGAGACACATCATTCATTTCCCCTTTGACCCTGGTCTTCCTCCCACCTCCTGGATCTATATTCTCCAATGGGACACATCCATAGCCAAGAGTCCTCAATCATGCTCTCCAGTAATAATCTTGAGCGCCAGATGCTTCGGCTGCCTAGCAATTATCTGATGCATTTAAGGAATGCACTGCTTCCCCCACTCCCTTTCTGCTGGCAACTAAAAAGACCAAAGAAGTAGTATTTTTTAGTTGACACTAAAATTTGAGGTGGGTTTTCCTCTACAGGTACTCCTTGACTTACAACCATTCATTTAGTGAGGATTTCAAGCCACGGCGGCAGTGTAAAAAGTGAATTGTACATTTTTCACCCTTAGGACCATCGCACCCTCTCTGCTGGTCACGTGATCAAAATTTGGCCCCTCGACAACTGTCTCATATATACGACGGTTTTGCAGTACCCCAGGGGACATGTGATCCTTCTGACAAACAACGGGGAAGCCAAATTCACTTAACAACCAGGCAATTAACTTAAGCGTTAAAGGTTTCACTTAGCAGCCGTGGCAGGAAAACACTTCATAGAACGGAGCAAAATTCACTTAACGAATGTCTCCCTTAGCAACTGAAAACATCGGGCTCAATTGGGGTTGTAAGTCAAGAACTACCTACACCCTGAGCAATTCCATGAAACTGTAGTAGTCTCCAAGCAGCCTCTGGTTTGGAGGGTACAAACTGGGTTGACCTTGTGCACAAAGCCACGATTGGTTTAGCTGTGTTTTTTTTTTTTAAATTGTGGCTTGTTAAGCCATGGCTGACAGGCTCAATCGACTCCACATTCAAAACTCTGATCCTTGGTTTTGATCCTTGGATCCGCAGTTTTCCTGAGAACAAACTGTGGTTCGTTGTGTACAAACGGTGGTTTGTTTTCAGAGTATAAATCGTGGTTTGTTGAGCCATGGCAGATTGGCCCGCTCCATTCTGCATGCAAAATTCTGATTTTGGGTATAATTGTTGCTGTTGAAGTTTTTTGTTTCTCTGTTTTGGACTTTTTAATATGTAAGCTTCCTGGAGTTTGTGGAGTCAGCCAGTCTCTCCATTAATGAAATAAAAGAAGGAAATAAAATTAAAATAATTTGATGACCAGGGTAATAACTTGACCTGCTGGAAAGACCCAGTCATAACATCCTCTTATTGCATTAAGCTTGGATTTGTTTTTAAGTATGTTTTTCTGAGCTCAATACAGTAACTTATTGAGTTATGGAGTTTGATAAACTCCCCATCCTTCAATTCTCAATATTCCACAATGGCTGTTGCTAGGAATTCTGGGAACTGAAGTCTTTTCAAAGGTGTGGACTTCAGTTCCCAGAATTCCCGAGGCAGCATGGACATTGTTGAGAAATCTGGGAGCTGAAAGTCGCCATGTTTAGAGAGTAAGCAATTGAGGGAAAGCTCACACGCACGATTTCAGGTTGTAAATCCGTAATGAAAATGAAAATACTAGCTGGGGGATTCTGGGAGTTGAAGTCCGTCCAAATTAAAGTATGCTAGATGGGGGATTCTGGGAGTTGAAGTCCATCCAACTTAAAGTATGCTGGATGGGGAATTTTGGGAGTTGAAGTCCACCCATCTCAAAGCATGCTGGCTGGGGGATTCTGGGACATGATGTCCCCCCCTTAAAGCATGCTGGCTGGGGGATTCTGGGAGTGTCTTAAAGTTGCCAAGTTTGAGAACTTCTAACCAAAATCATGCTTCTTAATAGCCTCCATCCAGTTAAGATGGCTTCTCCCAGCTTTTATATGTCTTCTCTTGTCTTTTGAAGGATCCCAAAATTCGGGAAACGCTGGGCTTTGGAAGTCCAGAACAACAACCCGAGGATAAACTTTTGACCGTGGTTCACGGACCTGACCTGGTGAATGTGAGTTTCCTCAACTTCATGGCAGTTGTCCAAGACAATACAGCAAAGGTAAGGAGGCCCTGAAGGTGAAACTGTGTGTGTGTGTGTGTGTGTGTGTGTGTGTGGTATTCAGTTTTGTTCAGGTATTTTCCCACGTCTTTATAGTTGTGCTTTTAAAGTTGCAGCGACGTTTCGGCAGAATCTCATCTGCCATCATCAGGCTTCTGTGTTGTGTTCATCTGTGAGTCAGACTTTTACAGTTGTTTCAGTTTTAAATTTGGGGCTAGCCTACTGCTGTGCCAGAATGGTTTTTTATTCATCCTGATTGGTTGGGAGTCTTGGTCTGTGTTTATTGGTCTTGGAGTTTGCGGTGTTCTGCTTGATTGGTGTTTCTAATATCTTCTGTCTGTTTTGTGGCTTTTTTTGTCTTGATTGGATGGCAACATTGTGTTTCCTGTATTGGAGGCTTTTAGTGCAGCTTGGCTCTGAGTAAATGGACGGCTATCATTTGTTAGGAAGCTAGGTTTCATCTGGGTGCCTGGTTGGGGTGTGTTTGAGCTGGAGGTATCGGGGGGGATCTGTCTGTGCCCAGGTGTTTGCCTGGCTTGTGGTGTGGAGATTTTTTTGTTTGTGAGTGCAGGCTTCCAAATAATTGACAGTCTGGTGGAATCATCTCTTCTATTCATGCTTTCAGGTCTTTTTTCAGTTCTCTATGGCTTCTCTGATGATTCTGTGGCTGGGGTTTTGGTGCCATTGAAGTTGATGCTATGACCTGTTGCTTTCATGTGTTGGACTAGTGAGGAAGTGTGTTCCAGCTTTTTGACTGCATTTTTGTGTTCATCCAGGCGGGTACTTATTCTTCTATTGGTCTGTCCAATGTATGTGCCTGGGCATGATGCACAGGGGACTTCATATATGCCTTGGTTTTCCAGGTCAATTTTATCTTTGGGGTTTCTAAGGATGGCTGCTATTTTTCTGTCTGTTTTGAAGGCAGTCTTGATGTGATGCCCGTGTAGTATCTTACTGATTTTGTCTGTAGTACCTCTTATGTAGGGCAGGACAGCTGTTCCATAGGTCTGTTCATCTTCTAGGTCTCCATTATGTCTCAGTGTGTTTTTGTGGATCAAGCCGGTGATTTTGCTTTTGTGGAAGCTGTTGGCTGTCAGTACTTTAGTCAGGGTGCATAGTTCAGTCTTTATGTGTGTCTTGTCTGCCAGGCGTTTGGTTCTGGCGATTAGTGTTTTGGCCACGGAGTTTATCTGTGCTGGGTGGTAGTGGGATTGGGCGTTGAGGTAGCGGTTGGTGTGTGTTTTCTTCTGGTATATGGTGTGTCCTAGTGTGCCATCTGTTTTTTTGTAGATTAGTACATCTAGGAAGGGTAGTTGTTTGTTTGTTTCCGTTTCCATGATAAAGTTGATTTTGGGGTGTGTGCTGTTTGGGTGTGTTAGGAAGTTGTTTAGGTTTTCTTTTCCATGGGGCCAAATCACAAATGTGTGATCGATGTATCTTAACCATAGTTTGGGTTTGTGGGTGGCATTTGCCAGGGCTCTGAATTCGAATTCTTCCATGAACAGGTTTGTAATGACCGGTGACAGTGGTGATCCCATAGGGGCTCCTTCAATTTGCTGGTATCTTTGTCCTTTGTATATGAAATATGTGTTGGTTAAGCGGTGTTCTGCTAAGTTCCATGAGGTGTTTAGCTGGTTGGTATTTATTTTTGATGATTTCAAGAGTTTCCTTTATCGGGACTTGAGTGAATAGTGAAACCACGTCGAAACTTACAAGCAGATCTTCTTGTTCCACGTGTAGATCTTTGAACCTTTCCAAGAAGTGGTATGAGTTTTGTACACGTGAAGCTGCTACTTCAGCATGGGGCTGTAGCTGATAGATATGAGACGGTTGCCAAGCATCTGGCTTTTGATCAGGTGACCATGGGGATGCTGCAATGGTCATAAGTGTGAAAAACGATCATAAGTTCAGCTGTAGTCACTTCAGTCGCTAAACGAACTGTTGTACAGTGACTAAAACAGTGTCCTGTTTGCTTATGAAAAATGACATGATTCACAGCTAGTTCCGAGAGTGGTGCGGTGGGCCTTAGAGGTGGAGCTGTGAGTTCGATCCTAGGTAGCGGCAGATATTTCTCTCTCTCTGGACACAGTGGGAATATAACTGCTGAACAAAACTCCGCATTGGTGACAGGAAGGGCATCCGGCCAGTAAACACTCAGCTCCATGGGGTTGTTAAATGATGATGATAGCTAGCTCCTCAAGGCAGAAATCAGTCTGAATCCTTTCTCCCTGAGAAACAAGCTTTTTTACATGCAGGGAATTGATTTCCTGCAGGACCCCAGAATATGTTTTCCAGTCTTGATTTTCATGGCTGTATAATTGTTCAGATAGAACTGCATTGCTTTCGGATTTCCTGTTCTGGCAATTGTCCCTTTTTAGTTCTGGATTACTAATTAAGCTAAATAAATTGGAGGGGATTTCTTGGGCAGAGTTGCAAGCAGCTAATGGCCCATGTTCTCATTTACACAAAATCACAATGGTTGCGACTATGTTGTGTTTTCTCATACTGTTCCTTCTGAAGTAATGTGTATTTTTTTGCATCTTAAAAACTTTTTAAAAACACTTTAGGAAACTTTTTTTTAAAAAACTCCTCAACTAAAACCCTCTCCAGGCGACATCCGGGCATCGAAATGCCAAAAGCCATAACAATAAAAACAAAATGCACTTTAATTGAATAGTGCAATAAACAGGGGGTTTCTTTTTAACCCACGGGGTTAAATAGCCGGAATCTATATTTCAGATTTGCAAAGAAATCCAAGGCTTGTTCGTCCTGTGGGCTATTTATTTGCTGTCTTTTTCAAAGCTGTTTTTGCTTAAAAACAGATCTGCCCATGGGTGAAAATCACCGTTTTTGCATTCCCTACATCCTTGACTGGCATCTGTTCTCTTTCCAAATCAAACCAGACTTAAGGTTTAAAAACTGGCTGAATCTAGGAAGGCAGCAAATTTTATTCTGTTTTGGGGAATGGAATGGAATGGAACGGAACGGAATAGAAAAGAACAGAACAGAACAGAATTCTTTATTGGCCAAGTGTGACTGGACACACAAGGAATTTGTCTTGGCGCAAATGCTCTCAGTGTACATAAAAGAAAAGAGACGTTCGTCAAGAGTCAAGAATCATTAGGTACAACACTTAATAATAGTCATAGGGTACAATAGGCAATCAAATCATACTAGGAGACAGTCAATATAAATCATAAGGATACAAGCGACAAAGTTACACTCATACAGTCACAACTGGGAGGGGATGGATGATAGGAATGATGGGAAGATTAATAATGATAGTAGTGCAGACTTTGTAAATAGTTAGACAATGTTGAGGGAATTATTTGTTTAGCAGAGTGATGGCGTTGGGGAAAAAAACTGTCCTTGTGTCTAGTTGTTCTGGTGTGCAGTGCCCTATATTGTTGTTTTGAGGGTGGGAGTTGAAACAGTTTATGTCCGGGATGTGAGGGGTCTGTAGGTATTTTCACAGCCCCCTTTTTGACTTGTGCAGGATCCAGGTCCTCCATGGAAGGCAGGTTGGTAGCCATTGTTTTTTCTGCAGTCCTAATTATCCTCTGAAGTCTGTGTCTGTCCTTTTGGGTTGCAGAACCAAACCAGACAGTTACAGAGGTGCAGATGACAGACTCCATCATTCCTCTGTAGAACTGGATCAGCAGCTCCTTTTGGGCAGTTTGAGCTTTCTGAATTGGTGCAGGAAGAACATTCTCTGTTGTGCTTTTTTGATGACGTTTTTGATGCTAGGTGCCCATTTTAAGTCTTGAGATATGATAACACCTAGAAATGTGAAGGTCTCTACTGTTAATACTCTGTTGTCTAGTATTGTAAGAGGTGGTAGTATGGGAGGGTTTCTTCTAAAGTCTATTTCTACGGTTTTGAGTGTGTTCAGTTCCAGATTGTTCCAGTTACACCACGAGGCAAGTTGTACAACCTCCCGTCTGTTTGCGGATTTGCCATTGTCTCGAATGAGACCAAATCACTGTTGTGTCAATAGCAAACTTCAGTATTTTCACAGATGGATTGTTTGAGATGCAGTCATTGGTATATAAGGAGAAGAGAAGTGGAGAAAGCACACAGCCTTGGGGGGCCCCTGTGCTAACTGTGCAGGTGTCAGGTGTGATTCTGCCTACCTTCTGATATAACAGAGTGTTTGGAACCGTTGTTAAGCGAATCATTGCATTGGTTAAGTTAATAACATGGTTGTTAAGTGGCTTTCCCCGTTGACTTGGCTTGTCGAAATGTTATCACGTGACCCCGGGACCCTGCAACCGTCATAAATACAAGACAGTGGCCAAGCATCTGAATTTGAATCTGGTGATCATGGAGGATGCTGCGTGAGAAACGGTCCTGAGTCCCTTTTTGTAGCTTTGAACGGCCATTAAAGGAATCGTCAACATTCAAGGACTACCTGTGTAATGTTTTTTTTTTCCTTCTTTCTTTCTTCCTTCTCCAGATTTGGGCCGAGGAAGTGTTCAAGCTGGCCACCAACATCCTCGCCCAAAACGCCTCTCGAAATACTTTTCTGCAAAAAGTGTAAGTGGTTTTTCCGGCCATAATTCAGATAAAGATAAGGAGGAGATTCCTAATTTGCCCAAAATAACCGGCTGACCTGACTTGCATTTGCAAGCTGCCTCCGTGAAGAATCAGATCAGATTTCGATCTGGGCGGGTGGAAATAAAGCCCCCATTTGGGTTTATCTCTTGGGCTCTGATCAGTAGCTCCGCCTCCCTTCCTGCTCTGTGAACTGAGTGTCCCAATTGTGTGGTTGCAGCTACACCCGGCTGAAGCTCCAGGTGAACCAAGATGGGAGGATCCCGGTCAAGAGGTAAGAGGTAACCCCTTTGGGGTTGGGGGTCCACATCTTCATTTTGGTTCTGTAGGACAGGGGAGGGGTGGAGGTCGGGGGGGGGGGGCTTGAACTCTGCCCTCTTGTGGGGAAGGGAAGGGAAGGAAGATAGAAGAAAGGAGAGGAAAGGAAGGTAGAAGAGGAGAGGAAGGGTGGTGAAGATAGAAAGAAGGGAAGGAAGATAGAAGAAAGGAGAGAAGAGGAAGATAGAAGAAAAGGAAGGAAAGGAAGGTAGAA